GCAGCATCCCTCTTCTTTTTCAATTTCGCTATAGACAAAATCTTGGAAAGTGCTCTGGAGAACTGCGAACCCAGCGACCTTGAACTGCTTCCGGGGGACCGACTTGGGGATTCGGAATCTGCAGACGACATCGCCATAATCTGCGCTTCCTCACAAACCACCCAAAATGTCCTGCGTAGGTTGGAGATGTCTGTCTCCCAGTTTGAAATGACCTTCACACCGTCGAAGTATAATTTTTCCTGCAGGACTGGCTAGGCGTTGCTTCTGACCTTACCCTTCTAGATCATTCATTGGAAGTGGTGGACAAGTTCGTTTACCTCGGAAGCTGCCTCAGCGCTAATGGCTTAACGGATGAGGCCTCCGCGGCTCGGGTTGCTTTTACCGATTCCCGCCATCTCTGGCGTCTAGGTGATCTGAGTCTAACTCTGAAAGGCCGATTTTTTAATGCCACAGGGAGGGCGGTCCTGCTCTGTGGTTGCATGATTTGGCCTGTTCGCGCAGATAATTTTGAGAGACTGCCTGTTTTTGCTCCCCACTGCCTTCGGAGCATTGCTGGTGTGCCATAGCAACACCACACTAAGAAATAAGCAGTATGATTTCTCTGCGCATACTTCAGTGGCTTGGACATGTGCTTCGCATGCCTACTCATCGCTTATATTGCCGTGTCCTCTTCGCGCGCGCAGAAATCGACTGGAAGTGAAAACAGGGTGGCCAACATTTGACTTGTGCCAGAGGCATGAAGGAGCTAGCGTCCAATTTAGCCGTAGTCGGGCGTTGTCGGTTCCCTGGCTGGGGTGTGAAGGATCCGGAACACGCATGGCTGGAGACACCCGGATATATCAAGAAACCGTGTTCAATGACCGACTTGTTGTGACTCTATTCCCATGAACGTCGTTTTTTCCCTCTACGTATGTTTACTGTATTTTCCATACGTTGTGGCACTATGCCAATTGTACTATTGGCCGTGTTGAATATATATATATATATATATATATATATATATATATCCTCCAATGATCTATACATTGTTCCACTTGATTGCGTTTCCCAAGTCTATCGCATGTACCACTATGGCTGAATCTCTTAGTAAGGCCTTGTATTCGGGCATTTTTTGCAGACGCTAACCTTACCTTTTGTGTTCCGCTATTTTAGTACATAGTTCTCTCGCTTTTTGGCCTATGTACACTTGCGCACAGTCTTTGCAACTAATTTTATAGACGCAATTTTTCGTCCTATCTTTTGGAAGTGGATTCTTCAGACGCATCAGTGCTGAACGGAGCGTTTGACCTCTTGGGAAAACCACTCTTATCCTCCTTTTGTTTAATACCCTCCTGATCGTTTCAGGTGTTCCCTCTGGGAATTCCATATAGGATACCCACCGTCCCAATCCACTCCGTCCTACGTCGTGAAAGTGGGTTTAGCGCACTCTGCCATTGACGTCTAATTAAGCCCCTCTGATATCCACTACCTATTAACTTATTCATGGTCTCATTCTGTTTAGCCCTCCTGTCCTCTTCCTCTGTGCACTGAGTCTCCCTGCCCTGTGAAACAGAGATGATGCAATCGCAACATAACGTGTTTCGGATGACTGAACTATAGTCTGCTACTCCATCTGTATCTGCTGGTTTTCAATATATGGTTGTTTTTAGCCGTCCTCCATTCCTGTGAATTAAACAATGAATGGCATTGTACCCCCGCATGATTCTAGTTCCATCGTAAATTTTGTGTTCTCATTAATGGAGTTCAGATAGTTTATAAGCTCCTCGTTCTTATCACTCTTAATGATAACAAAAGTATCATCTACTTAGCGCCACCAAATCTTTGGTGAGTCACTGGAATTTGTCAACACCCTCTTTTCAAAGTCTTCCGACTACAGATTTGCCAGAACAGGGGATATTGACGACTCCATGGTAAAGCCCTTTACCTGAGCATACAGCCTCGACTGGAACGTGAAATCTGACGCATTGAGACATACTTTCATTCCTTCTATTATTTGGTCTACTGTGACTTTCGTTCTTTCCCCCAGGCTATACTGTCCTCAGTCAGATAGTGTTGTGCTACCCCCAATGCGTTACCCTTTGGCACGTTCGTAAATAGTGAACTGACATCGCAGCTAACCATTATTTCATCTGACTTAACAGTCACATCTGCCACCTTTTACGCAAAATCATGAAATTTCTTTATGAACGTATCTGTTTTCCCTGTTAGGGGATTCAACAAACCTACCAGATATCTAGCTGTTTCGTTGGTCGGAGAACCGACGCCATCCACAGTGGGCCGAATGGGACTGGTGGACTTATGTATCCTCCGTAGCCCGTAGATCCTTGGCGGTAGAGTTGATTTCGGATATATATTATACCACCATCTTTCAGCAAAGATCGAGGAAGGTCGTCGGGTCCAGGAACCTGATTTCCTCTTAACACGGAACGCTCATGTCGAATCTCTTCCAAAGTGGATGTGTGCTATATACTTCCCATTGCGGCTCAGGCGATTCGGCAAGCGGCAGTGTCACATCAGACCTGCTGAACTGCTCAAAGTGTTCCGTCCAACGGACTAGTCGACGACGCTGAGAATGAATCAACAGTCCATCTCTCAGCTATTGTCCCGCTAACTGATGGCTTCCTCGGATTCGTGTTCCGGATAAGCTTGAATAGCACTCGGCTGTTTCCAATAGTGCTGACTTTCTCCATCTCACGGGCATTTGCAATCCACCAACATTTCCAATCAACTCGGAGACTTCTTTTGGTGCGTCGTTTGACACAATCACGGAAGCGCTGAATGTAAATGTCTATCGGGACCTGTTTCAGTGCTTCGATCATGCCGATCGAGGACTCAGAGATCCAATCGCAGTTACATCGTCTCAAGTTGAGTGAATAACAAGCGTCAAACGCCTTCTTCAAGGTACATGTGAGACGATTCAAATCAGCGTTCGGTTCACCAGCTGATTCACCACTGACAATTGGTGGACCAGTTCGTCGGGATATTGTTGAACTGCAGACTGCGAGTTCAAGTTACAGGTAAGAAGCTTAGAACATATGCGCTTCTTTGAAGTAGAAAGATTAAACGCCAAGTGTGCGCGCACTAGAGCATGGTCAGAATCCAGGCACGTGCTCCAAATTGACCGACAGTCTTGGACTGATGTGTGCCTTCTGTGGCTCATGGCCATATGGTCAATTTGGGTCCAGATAATTGAGGAATTCGGTGGACGCCAGGTGACGCGATGTGAATGTCTGGGCTGGAATACAGTGCTGCTAAGGCAAAGCTTGTGGTCCGCGCACAGTTAACGGGATCTATCACCATTGTCTGTTCGGCGCGCATCACTCAGGTGTTGTTCAGAATCTGAAAGACGACCCACTTGGGCATTCCTGTCGCCAGCAACAATCAAACTGTCGGTATTTTTTGCCATGCGATGAAGAGATGATAGCTGTCGATAGAAACCGTTTTTGTTACTCTATGAGCTGCATTCAATAGAGGCATAGCCTGAGACGATGAAACGGCACCTTATCTTCACTTGATGCTTATTAACTCCAGTAGAGGTATCACAGGTATCTTGTCGAGTAGATTGCCTTCAGTATTGTCTGCTGAGGACAATGCCAACACCGTAACTACGAGTCATTGATTCATTATCGCCAGAGACGCGGAGAGTGTAACAATCGTCATCAGATTCAGGATCAGTGAGTCAAAGATTCGTCACAACGCTGTGTTACGGAGACAGCAGCCACCAATACCAAGAGAGTGAGTCTGTGCTGCCCGCTGGCCGATCATACCTAGATTGCGATTGTTAAAATAACCAATGTGAAATGAAACTCTAGGTTCGATGGAGGAGCTACATGTATCGATGGCAGCAGCTGCGAGCTCAGTGGCAACTTCTTGCTCAATAGGTGGGAAAGATAATTGAGAGGGCAGAGTAAGATAAGAAGAAGAGGGAGTATTGTCGACGTGGTCGAGAGGGCAGATAATGCTCTCTGGCTGCTCATTTTGAGAGTGGGGTTTTGTTCGAGCTGCCTAACCTCTAGCCTCTGACTCAACAGTCTGACCCACAAGGCAATGGGGAGCAAGTCCAGGTCGGGAGTATGGTTGCAGAGACCTTTTGGGATCCGCTCGAGGCTTGTCACGCACAGCCTTTAAAGATTTGGGACAATTCACATATGCTTTACGACCGGATGATGTTACGCACCTGCGACAAGTGCCAGCCGCACTTGGGAGTTGGCGGACTTGCACCAATTTGACCCGGCGCTGCCTGGCTTGAGGCAGGCTGTAACAAACCATTGAGCACCCGAAGGTGTCCTTTTACCGTCAGACAATGCCTGGCACTCGGGCTATGAGCTTATAACTCGTAGACTTGTTGTCTGCCATGGCTCGGTTTTAAAGGGTGAGGGCCATCGACCTCTGTTTAACCTCCGAAGTGGATTGGGTTGAGGGACTGTTCGTCTGACACCTAACTATTGATCTGCATGTTATGAGTGGCTCTGAAGGCACTTGGAAAGTGCCACCTAGCACAGCTCGATGGGTCACGGGGGTAGGCAAACCATCGCACCACGCTAGGGTCCAGTCACATTGCCATACATTATGAGTCGATACTTAACTTCATATAATTCTGGAAGGACATTTTCCATCAGGGTCCCACATCTGTCGTAGACCTGATTTCGAAATCAGTCAAAAATGGCGGTGGATGTTGAGTTGAATTGTTTATGACGACGCCAAATGTGTCAAGAAAACTGGGTGTGTAAGCGAACATTTATCTCAATGCAGGAAACCTACGCGAAGTGCAACAAACTCTAGCGGACACGTACATCCGTACACTAAGTGACTTCACACAGCCAAATAGGGAATGCATTCCAGCCTCTCAGAGTAGACAAGTGTTCTACCTTTTGAGCTCAGCTCACACAAAACTCTCGTCGTTATTTGCACAACCACTTTTCTTGAGGTAATGTTTATTTACTCTTGCTATTTCGGGTCTCCTAGGTACTATTGTAATTATCCGTTGAAATTTCGTTTCAGCCGTACCACTTTGACATCTTTTTACCTTTATTCTCGTCTATCGGTCGTTTTTATGTCACATGACCAAGGAGGTAACAACGCCAAGGACGACCGTGGTAAGTCCCTAACTTCGTTGCCTCAGTCACACAACGAAGGTGTCATTATTTCTTGTAACAGCGATATTTACAGGTCACATGGACGATGTGCAACGTATGGAATGCCGCCTTCTACGGTTGCTAGATGAATTTAACTCGGGCAACGCGTTATCTTTCGGTAACCTAATCTTTAACAGTTTCTGACCTTTAGGACCGAACTGTCCATATGAAAAACTGAATGCTATTCGTGATCAGCAGGAAGAGTTGATGCGACTGCATTTCGAACAAGATAAGAAGACCCAGTCGGTCATAGACTCGAGTGCTAGAAGAAACCGAAGACCTGTTCAATCGTAACCTTTGATTTCCTTTGTTTGTTTATCGCTTTTCCGCTTACAGGTTAATATCCGATGAGGGTTGGAAGACGACTAAGGCCAACGTTGACAGCCTCATAGAAAAGGTATACTAAGGTTGTTTTCTTATCTTTTTCCTCGTTCGTTTTGTACTCTTTGCACTAGAACACGTTTTGCTCTACGTCCAGTAACTATGACAACTTCTCTCTTTCACCGATTTTTTCGTTCCAACGAGAAATTCTTTACTAACTCACCACCACGATTCAAACGAACCAATTTGGTGTCTTCCTAAGACATCATCTGGAGCCAATCATTTATAATCTGCCCTCCAGTGTCATCATTATCCTATACCTTAGCTAAGGGTGGGAGAAGTCTCAGCGCTTGGAACACATTTGACAAGCTATTGATGTCTCTGTTTTTGGACCGATTCTACACCACAGCCGATTCAGCCATAGCCTCAGGCGAATTCGCAAAAAATACCGTCACGTGTATGCACATCCTAGCACCTACGTCGAAGGTAACCACAGTCACCTTCGACGGCCGATATAAACACTTCGAAGCTACAGAAGTTCAGATCATTTTACTACAAAAACAAAGACATCGCCACATTAATCCAACTACACGATTCCTTACTGAAACAAGAGCAACAAACACAACAGTCAATGGTTGCCTAGGAAGCCCGAGTCAAGATTAGTCTAACTGTATGGACCAGGGACCTGGCTAGTTCGCGGTGAAGACATTAACCCTTTGGCCGTGTTCGACCACCAGTGCGGAGTATTGCCTACTTCTGGTAGGAACACCGGGTGATCAATGCTGAGATGTTTTATTATGAAGATTCATCGCTGTTAGATGCAGGCAGACAGACACCACACATTCAGGAAAGAGCTAGACGGCCATTTCGTCCTATTGGGACTCGTCAGTAGCGCGCACCTGCCGAATCCTGCCGGATTAGAACCCACGACCTTACTCTTGTGACGAATCTATACAAAATCCCAAAGGGTTCCCCTGCTACTTACAAATAGTCGGTAGTCGCCTTAGCACCATCGCAATGTGACTGGACCTTACCGTGGTGCGATGGTTTGTGTGCCTTAGCGATCCATCGAACTATGCTGGGTGGTGCTTTTTCGCACCTTCAGTCAATGGTTAGAGGGAAGACAAACTCAGCCTCCTGATCCTCCAGCTTAGGGGTTAGAATGAGAATGGCTCGTTATTCCTTAAAACGGACTTCTTGTAGTCCACTGCCCCCGCTGCTTGCCGTCAGGTATTTAAACCAAAGCCTTTGGTTGAGAAACCTAGTCGTTCTCTTGTCTAGGCCTAGGCAACCTTATAGTATCCTTCCCACATAATACTATGCATCTTTTCTCAAACAATTTCCTGTTGCTGTGGCCACCACAGAGGATAATAAACGGCACTCTATCTGCTGCATCGAGCAGGGTGGATAGGGCTTTGGATGCTACTGCCCAATCCTTCCCGTCTTCTTATTCCCCCTCTTACGCTTTTTCACCCTTATCGTCCCGTTCCAACTTCCCTTTTATCCCCCCAGTTTTCGACCCCCCGATTCTTGGCCCTCTCCCACTAAGCGTACCTTTTTTAGTTTCGACTCACATGCAAACGCGGAGCGTCACTCTTGCCCTATCAACAAGCCCATGTCTAACCAAGCGGTCAAACTCAGTTCATCGGCTTCTATTTGGAGCCCTCGATCCTCCCTCAGATTGGCATGCCTCAATGTGCGCACATTGCTACAGATCGGTCAACAGACAGCACTTGCCCGAACATTAGAGACCCACTTGATCGATATCTGCTGCCTATTGGAAACCCGCCTACATGACCCGAGCTCTCTTCTCACTCTGCGATCCCCTTCAGGTGATGCAAGCAGTGTTTTATCATTGCGCCTCTCCGGAGACGATTCAGCTTCGAATACCGGCCAAGCCAATGTTGGTATTGCCCTGAGTCCCCGGACTGAAGTTGCTCTGGTTGATTGGATCCCAATCAGTATAGCCGGATGTTTGCGGTCCGATTGGCTGGCTCGTTCAAAACTTCGAAGTCAAATGGGGCTAATAGGTGTCTGTTTATCATCGCTGCCTACGCCCCCACAAACTGTAGCGAGGAGTCCGTGAAAGGCGACTTCTATCGTCAAGTGGACGAGCGTCTTCGCCACAGAAGAAGTTCGGACACTGTAGTGCCTGCTGGGGATCTGAACGCTGAAGTTGGGCAATTGCCCACTAATGAGCTGCATCTGGGCGGCCAACATGATGTAGGATCACGCAGTGATAGCAGTGAGCGGTTACCTCATTCGTGTGAAGATGCTTGTTCGTTTCTTGCGAGCACTAATTTCCGACACAGCACTCGTCGGAAGGTGACATAACGCCCACCAGGCACGGAGGCAACTCGATCACCTCGTGATCAGTTATCACTGGAGAGACTGCGTCCAGAAATGTCGCTCGATTTGGATCACATGTGTAGACACTGACCATGCACTTGTATGTGCTAATGTGCTGGCGCGTTATGGCGGTCGCCCTCGACGACGCTGTGAACACCTAGATACCGGCCAACTGGCGAAGCCACGTGTTATGAATGCGTATCAAAGTACTTTGGTGTTCGGGTTGAGCAAGCGCTCGCTGAATACAGTTGAAGGTCACTGGTCGCATGTTCACCAGACCTTACTTGAAGCAGGTCAATTATTATGTGGGTAATTCACTAGCCAAAATAGACATTGCGTCTCTTCGCAATCTCTGAAGCTTATCGATGCTCGCCAGCACATTCCGGCTGGAAGCGAACACAACGAGACTCGCAAAGACATTAGGGCAAAACTGCGTGCTAGCCGGAAAAGACCCCGAATCCTGGTGGTCTCATCGTGCGTCAGAGATGGAAGTGGCCGCTGCCCTTGGTAACCATGGGAAGTTGTTCTGTCTGATACGGGAAACGGGCGGCAGGAAACCTGGTGTTAGTGCAACAGTACCTGACGAGATTGGACAGCCTATCCACATGATGTACTGGTAGTCCTGGTTGATCGTTCCTGGGTTCAGTTATTCGCGGAGCTTCACACTTTGTATGCAAAAGCTTCATCACCGTTGGGATCCCATTTTGTCAGGACTCATTGCAGAAATAGTAATGCAGAAACTTGTTGAGGACATACTGCCCCTAATCAACTCAAAGTTATGAATCCAATACGTCGATGATACCTTCGTGATACTGAAACATAGTAAAGTAGAGGCTGCATACAAGTTGCTCAGTAACGCCATTGAGGACATTCATTTTACGATGGAATCGGAGATAGAAGACCAGCTCCCATTTTTGGATGTGTTAGTCACCAGGACGATTGACGGAGAGTTGCAAACATCGGTTTGCAGGAAGGGAACACACACCGACCAGATCCTGTACTACTATACAGTAATCACCCGAAATGTCACAAAACAAGTTATGTGTGGACTCTCTTTCTTAGCAAACTTGCAGCACACCTGAAGCGAAGCGGAAAGAAGAGATATACCTATTCAGTTCATTTCACCTAAGGGGATATCCACATAGCTCCGTTCGGCGATATCTAAGCAACAAAGCTACGACCTCTCCACCCACTCAAACGACTACAAAGAGAATCGTTCTACCTTATATAAAGAACATCTCCGAGATGACGGCAAGATTATTTAAAGAGCACGGTCTTACAGTGGCTTACAAATCAACTGCCACCTTGAGGCGAACCCTGTCGAAACCCAAATCTAGACCTGAAGCACATGAAAGATGAAGTGTTGTTTACAAGATACGGTGTCAACATTGCGATAAGACCTATATGGGTCAGACAGGAAGACAACTGTCTACAAGAATACAAGAGCATAGGAGCTTGTAAGAACTACTACGCTCTCTCACTGGTTTCAATACTTACAGACGAAGGACATTTCTTCGATTAGAACAATGCAGAGGTCCTAGCATGCTACTCGACGAAGCACTCGATAAACATGTACGTTGAGACTGACCCAGTTTGCGAAATGTTAAGACGGAGAGAATTGAAACGACTTAAAACCCGTCGTGAACAGTTCAACGAGTCGTCAATAACACAGCTGCAACAGCCGGGGCAAACTCATCCCACGGATCGTCCGTGTCTATGAGAGAAGTTGGGCAGTCGGATGGTCACGGGGCACTGCTCGAGGAGATCAATTCAAAGTTACTTGCTAATCAATCACAAATCGACGACCAAGTCAGCGGATTACATTTGACCCAGCAGCGCACTAAAGAAGTCACCGCATGTGGTGATGAAACGTTTGTATACCAATTGCGAAGCTCGGCGAACAGCTGAACCCAGGAGTCTATCCACAACTTGTCAAAACCTTTGGAGCGTTGGGCTGAGCATTTTGAAATGCAATTTAGTCGACGGGAATTGTTAGATCGCTCACCGGCTAGTGATCTCCTTGCTCCATGGGCTATCCTTTTGGATCCGCCCTCGCTCAGAAGTCGAACATGAGATCGGACTGCTGAAGTTGAATAAAGCCGCGGCACCAGATGATCTTCATCCGGCCCTCTTCAAATTCGGAGATCCTGTTCTTGTTGATGATTTACACGAATGACTAGTGAAACTGTGGGAGCAGGAAACTGTCCCAACCGACTGGAGTCGCTCCCTTATTGTCCCGATTTTCAAAGGAGGCTCGCGTTCGGAATGCGCCATCCATAGAGGAATCAGTCAAACCTCCACCGCCCCCAAATTGCTTGCCTCTGTAATCCTTCCCAGTCTGACTGGCACTCGTGAAAACCAGATTCGTGAAGAGCAAGCCGAGTTTCGTCGTGGTCGGGATGCATCGACCACGTGTCCACTTTGCGTCAGTTGTTGGAGCACTGTCACATATATTGGAGACTCACCGTCGTCGTGTTCCTCGACATCAAAAGTGCCTTCGATTCAGTGGATTGATGTGCCGTTTGGGACTGTCCGCTAAGGAAACGTGCGCCCGAGAAGTATGTAAATATTATGTGATCGCTTTATGCGCGTAGCTCAGGCAGAGTGAGGGCTTACGGCAAGCCGTCGCCGCCCTTCAATATCTCCAGCGGCGTAAGACAAAGATGCCCGCTGTCACCATTCCTCTTCAACTTCGCTGTTGATAAAGTCATGGAAATCGCGTTCACAGGACACCAT